AACAAACAAACAAATATTTCAAGTAGTGCATGACATGATGAAGAAAATACACAAGGGAAGAGGAAGGGAGTGGAGGCTGAGGGTGGTCTGCTTTGAAGAGGACCAGGGAAGTCCTCATCAAAGCACAGCATGTGATCTGAGATAGGGATGATTATGAGAAGCCAGCCACCAGAGGGCCAGAGGGACAGTCTTCTCGGCAGAAAGCAGGTGCAAAGATTCAAAATGCAAAAGAGCTTGGCAGAGTGCACTGGACAATAAGAAATGAGGAGAGGTGCTACTCTTCATTTGCAAAGGGGAAAAGAATTAAAGCTAATTTTTAAAAAATGAAGACCATGGTTGGGTGGGTTGGCTCACGTCTGCAATCCCAGCCCTTTGGAAGACCAAGGCAGGCGGATCACAAGGTCAGGTATTCAAGACTCACCTGGTCAATATAGTGAAACCTCGTCTCTACTAAAAATACAATTAGCCAGGCATGGTGGCGGGCACTGTAGTCCCATCTACTCAGGAGGCTGGAGGCTGAGGTGGGAGAATCACTTGAACCTAGGAGGCAGATGTTGCAATGAGCTGAGATCATGCCACTGCTCTCCAGCCTGGGCAAGAGACCGGGACTCTGTCTCCAAAAAACACAAAAAATGAACACTGTAAAAAAAGTGAGCGCTATGGCTTTCAGAGGTTACACAATTCCTGCAGGCCCATTGATTGACATTGTTCACAGTTTTTTCCAAACCATCTTTTGGAATTATCTTCAGAGGCAGACTCTAAACTGTGCATGAAAACAAATGTGATGACTCTCTCAATGGAATCTCCTTTTTGATGACTGCAGAATAACTCAGTCTGATCCCTCATTCTTCACTTGATTTGGTTCTGCACAATGACCGGTACTGTGTAGAAGCTAAAGTTTAAGAATTTTCTGGATGTAAGTTATTCTGCTTCAGGGCTTTCAGGGAATTCCCAAAGCATTTGGAGCACTAGCAGCAGGGCTGGGTTAATGGGAAATTTCCCATCCAATCTGCTGGGAAGGAGTCCAGGTCCATACGCCGGGAACAGGCTGGGAGGCTTGGTGATCGTGTCAGACCCATAAGACACACAATTTGCCTGCAACTTAAAAACCACTTTCTACCATTCCACAAATAATCCACCATCAACTTCCACCTAACCTATTCATTCTATGAAGTATAATAGAATTTAATGGGCAACTGCTCTTTGTTGAGCTAAATAAGACAGCACAATTACACTCAGTCCAGGGCCACACCGTGAAAGGTAGACACACAGACTTGCTGCTCTTAATTAAGTCCAAGGGAGGTGTCTGGGAAACTCCTTTGGGAAATAATGACTTTGACAGGAAGTGGCTTCTTGGTATTTTATGGCAGAGGATGCCTCTTTGTCTAATTTAAAGCTTCTTTTCTTTTGATAAAAAAAGGGTCTTTAACAAAATTGTAGGAGGAATAAGTCATGGGCTGTTATGGACTAAGTTGTACCCACCTCCACATACTTGTGGAAGTCCTAGCCTCAAAATGTGACTGTATTTGGAGGTAAGGTCTTTAAAGGGATAAAGTTAAAATGAGGTCTTTTTGTTTTTGAGATGGAGTCTCGCTCCGTCGCCCAGGCTGGAGTGCAGTTGTGTGATCTTGGTTCACTGCAGCCTCTGCCTCCTGGGTTCAAGCAATTCTCATGCCTCAGCCTCCAGAGTAGCTGGGATTACAGGCACCCACCACCTCACCCAGCTAAATTTTTGTATTTTTAGTAGAGACAGGGTCTCACCATGTTGACCAGGTTGCTCTGGAACTCCTGATCTCAAGTGATCCACCCACCTCAGCCTCCCAAAGTGCTGAGACTACATAAATGAGGTCTTTAGTGTGAGTTTTAATCCAACATAATTGGTGTTCTCATAAGAAGAAGAGATTTGGACACAGACATGCACCCAACAAAAGACATGTAGAAGACACCATTTGCAAGCCAAGGAGACAGGCCTCAGGTGAACCTGCCCTGCTGACACCTTGATCTCAGCCTTCCAGCCTCCCGAGCTGTGAGTAAATAAACAGTTGTTTCAGCCACCCATTCTGTGGTACTTTGGGCTGGAAGCCCTAGCAAACTAATATACCAGTTCTTCTAAATGGCATGTTTGGATGATAAAAAAATTCAGAAGTTCTTTCTTCCTCAATGGAGGCTAAAATAAAAGACAGCCATAAGTATTTTCCAGGTTGACTCCAATTTGCCCTCTTGTTTTGCAGCGAACATTTTGTTTTGAAATGAGCATGGTCAACAGACAAACCAGGCACAGAAGAAGGCCCAAGCTCCCATGTGCTAGCATGGCTGAACCCATTCCACAGATTCATTTATGCCTACAGCTGTGGATTTTAAAATCCACATTCGATCCCATCCTTCACATGAATATAGGAGAAAGACCACAGTGCCTTCGTTTGACTGTTCCTGGAATACCCAGTAGGTGCACAAGGAGTCTTAGAACAAATGATGCTAACCAGTCATATACTGGTTTATTCCAGCTAATTCCCTAATACAGAGCACAGGAATATGACTTGGACTCTGTTTCTGGAACTCAACAAAGTGATAAAATCCATGATCTTTATTCAAATACAAAGAAACCTTGAGATTTTATGAATCCATCTGCCTCCTGGCATAAGAGTCACTGTGGAAATCAATCTCATGCTTCAGCTTTCCTGACCTGTGGCAGACGCCACTGCATTCCTACAACCAAGTGGCCGGTAAAGATGAAAGTGATTCTTTTGTCTGAGGAGCTGGTCATGGGAGCATATCAACCATGACATGTCCTCAGGTAGGAGCAGGATTGCCAAAGAATTAAAAATGTATGTGTGATGTGTGTGGTATGTGGGTGTGGTGTGGTATGTGTGTGAGAGGGTATGTGTGTGGTGTAGGGTGTATGTGATATGTGTGTGTATTGTGTGTATTGTGTGTGTGGCCTAGCGTGTGTGTGATGTGTGTGTGGTTTGTATGTATAGTATGTGTGTAGAGTGTGGGTGTGTGATTATGTGGGGGGCTCAGTGGGTGTGTGGTATGAGTGTTGTATGTGTGTGTGTAATGTGTGTGGTGTGTGTCATGTATGGTGTAGGGTGTGTGTAGTGTACATTAGGTATGTGAGTGGTGTAGGTGATGTGTGTGTATGTGTGGGGTATATGTTGTGTATATAGGAAGGAAGTGTATGTGCTGTGTGTGCTGTGTATAATGTGGCTGGTGTATGTCATATATGTGTATGTGGTGTGTGTGGTGTATACTGGGTATGTGGTATGTATGGTACATATTGGGTGTGTGTGTGGCATGTGGTACATGTGATGTATGTGTGTGTGGTGTGGTATGTGGTGTGTGTGATGTATATTGGGTGTATGTGTGGCATGTTATGTATGCTATGTAGTATGTGTAGTATGTGGTGGGTATGGTGTATATTGGGGGTGTGTGTGGCATGTGTGGTGTATGTAACATGTGTATGTAATATGTGTGTATGTGGTGTGTGTATATGTGGTTTATATGTGGTGTGTGTGTGGTATATATTGGGAGTGTGTGTGGCATGTGTGGTGTATATGATGTGTATGTGTGGTGTGTGGTATGTGGTGTGTGTGGCGTGTGGTATATGTAAAATGTGTAGTGTATATGACATGTGTATGTGGTGTGTCTGATATATATTGGGTGTGTGTTGTGTGGTGTGTGGTGTATATAACACTGCACCCATCATCCCGCAGCCCCTTCCCACACACAAATCACCTACACCACTCACATACCTAATGTACACTACACACACCCTACACCATACATGACACACACCACACACATTATACACACACACACACACATACCACACTCACACCACACACCCACTGAGCCCCCCACATAATCACACACCCACACTCTACACATATGCTATACATACAAACCACACACACATCACACACACGCTAGGCCACACACACAATACACACAATACACACACATATCACATACACCCTACACCACACACATACCCTCTCACACACATACCATGCCACACCCACATACCATACACATCACACATACATTTTTAATTCTTTGGCAATCCTGCTCCTACCTGAGGGCATTTCATGGTTGATATGCTCCCATGACCAGCTCCTCAGACAAAAGAATTGCTTTCATCTTTACTGGCCACTTGGTTGTAGGAATGTGTGTGCGATGTGTGTGTATGTGGTGTATGTGGTGTACAGTGGGTGTATGGTGGTGTGTGTGGTGTGTGGTGTATGTATAATGTATGGTTTATGTGATGTGTGTGTATGTGGTATGTTTGGTATGTGTTTTTATGGTATATATTGGATGTATGTGTGGCAAGTGTGGTATATGTAACGTGTGGTGTATGTGATGTGTGTTTATGTGGTGTGGGTGGTATGTGGTGTGTGGTATATATTGGGTGTGTTTGTGGTGTGTGGTGTATGCAATGTGTGTGTATGTGGTGTGTGTGGTATATATTTGGCGTGTGTGTGGTGTGTGGTGCATGTAAGATGTGTGGTGTAAGTGATGTGTGTGTATGTGATGGGTGTGTGGTGTATGTGATGAATGTGTATGTGGTGTGTGTGGTGTGTGCTGGGTGTATGTGGTATGTGGTGTAACATGTGTGGTGTATGTGATGTGTGTGTATGTGACGGGTGTGTGGTGTATGTGATGCATGTGTGTGTGGTGTGTGGCATATGTAACATGTGTGGTATATGTGTTGCATGTATATGTCATGTGTGTGGTATAAATTGGGGGTTTGTGGTGTGTGACATATGTAAGGTATGCATGCGATGTGTGTGTGTATGTGATGGGTGTGTAGTGTATGTGTGTGGTAAGGGGGTGGCTGCTCACACTCAGAAGCTCTCCACTGTTCCCTTCCTAAGGAGGCCTATACACCAGTTGCCTAGGGCAACTCCCTGGGTGCCCTGCCAGCCCATGCTCTCCCTCAGCTGGGGAGCATAAGGCAGGAAGGGAAGGGAAGGTGGGAAGAACCTGGGGGACAAAGGGTCTTTGTTGCCCTTCCTCACTCAGGCACAGTCTGGGGAAGACTTTGGCCTCAGCCCACACTAGAAGGCTGTTTACCAGACCTGCTGGAGCCTCTGAGGGGCAGCAGCCAGCTCACACCGCATGCCCTGGATGGCCAGAAGGCACAGGAGACCACAGAGCATATGAGTGGGGTAAGAGGAAACCATCTATCAACAAACAGGGACCAGAGCAAATGAAGTTCCAACATCTTGCTCATGCTCTTGCATGGCCAGAAGGTGAGTCTCCCTTTGCTGTGCTCAGCACTGGCTCTGAGTTCCAAGGGAAGTTGCGGATCATCTCAAGCCTCAGCTTTACACTCTGATGACATGACCTCATGATAAGGACTTTAAGTGCTGTGCAAACTTGTTAATACGGATCTGATCAGAATGTATTACCATGGGAATCAAAACCAGATCAGTTTGACAACCGCTCTGTGAATCTCTACTAAGCATTTGGCACTGGGTTAGGTGCTAAGTACTCAGGAACAAATAAGACAAGGTCACTGCCTAAGAGAATTTCACCATTTCATCCAGAAGATGGGTGCATAATCTTGAGATTAGGTGGAATAATGCCCAGGGTGCCTGAGGATTAACCCAGGAGTTTAAGAAAAGCTTCCCTGGTTAATGCCTATAATCCCAGCACTTTGGAAGGCTGAGGTGGTGGATCACAAGGTCAGTTCAAGACCAGCCTGGCCAAGATGGTGAAACCCTATCTCTACCAGAAATACAAAAATTAGCCAAGTGTGGTGGCGGGCACCTGTAATCCCAGCTGCTAAGGAGGCTGAGGCAGAGAATGGCTTGAACCTGGGAGGTGGAGGTTTCGGTGAGCTGAGATCGCACCACTGCACTCCAGCCTGGCAACAGAACAAGAACTGTCTCAAAAAA